ACAGGTAAAGTCTTGACAAGTTTGTCGCGGGTCTGGGGGAGTTTCAGCCCCCACCCCTTCTCCCCTCTCTCTCTGTCTCCACGCAGCGAATTTCAGGCTCTAGTGTTCAGACACTGCAGCAGCCACGTTCTGCTTTGAAATGTTTCTTTAGTTTGTTATTGCTACGAGCTCTCATGCTAAAGCGACAGTTGACTCCTCCCACACTAAGAAAACAGGAGGGGAGGAGTCAGCTGAGCTCCTGTGCAGTGGAGCACAGAGAGGGAGAGAGAGGAAGTAAACAAACAAGCAGGAAAATGAAACTTATCGTCCTCAGTTTTWTTTACCGACCTCAAAAAAATTTATCATGCAATTAATTGATTTGACTATCGCGACAGGCCTAGTTTAGAATAAAAAAAAATGTGAAAAATGAGTCTGCTGGCTAATCTGCAAACATTTATTATAAAAAAATCTGCTTTTCAATCATTTTGAATTTTGTGTTTCAGCTTTCTAAGTTCTCTAAAATGAAGATTCATAAACAGTTTAGTTTTTTTGTTTACTGCTTTCTATGATTATACCCCTCAATCTTGTCACCATCACATGGTCAAAACTAAACTAATAAATGACATCAGAGTTTAATCTCTATTCCTTTTTTGGGCATGTCTTCTTTGCTATGCCCGRTTTTAGTTAAAGGCGTAAAAGACTGACAGACATTTTATTTATTTGATTCATTGTTTTGTTTAGTCCATGTTTTGGTAGACAGCTCAGTGGTGATTTACAAGGACAGTTATGACGAAGCTTTTATGTGATAAAGATAGGAGATAAGAAAAATCAAAGAAAAGGACAAATGTTTGCGTCTATCAAGCACAGACCAAATTATTTTGCAATATAACCAATTTGGCTTCATCGACTTTATCTAAGCAGTAGTCTGAAAGATTTATGATTGAAACAGTTCTCCAAAGACAAACTTCATCTTGAAACCAACAAGCAGACATCAGAAGTAGTCGAACTTCTATATTTTCAGCAGGGAAGACTTACAGCATCTCAGCTATATGGTTTTGTTTGTTTGTTTGTTTGTTTTTAATTGATTTAGTACCACAAAAAAATCCAGTTGAACACAGACAAACAGTACTTAACTCTTCTACTTTAGGCAGCACCTTAGTCCCAACTCGGAGAGGTTAATCTACACTTTTCCAACTGAGGACCATGACCTCAGATTTGGAGGCGCAGTTTCTCATCCCAGTTGATTCAGCGCTCAGCTGTGATTACTGCTCCAGTGTGAACTGGAAATCATTGCTCRATGACGCCGACAGGACCACATCATCAGCAAAATAACAGACAGAATTCTGAGGCCACCAAACCAGACCTGAACTCCTCTGCCCCCTGGCTGCACCGAGACGTTCTGTCTATAAAGTTGTGAGCAGAATCTGTAACAATGGGCAGCCCTGGTGAAGTCCGACTCTCACCCTGAAGTGTTCTGACTTRCTGCCAGCAATGCAATCCACACTCTTGCACCAAGTGTTTCCGAACCGAATGACTTGTAGCAATAAATCCCCAATCCCATACTCATGAAGCACCCCCCACAGAGTACCTTGGGGAACACAGTCGAATGCCTTCYCCAAGTCCACAAAACACTTTTAGACTAAGGGTGTAACAATACATTGATCCTAGCCTGGTTAAAACTAGACCCTTGTCCTTCACTTTGCTTCGTACGMGGGTCTGGACTCGTGGYTGTAGAGAAGCGATTCTTGCTGGAGGCGTGGCCTCTGCTGAAGTTTAAAATGATTGGATCGGTTGGYTGCGACATATGTCGCTGTGAAGAAGGCTAAGCTAAGAAGCTAACCGGAAATCGTGTGTGCTGTAAACAACCCTACTGAGAGGAGAGAAGTACTGAGCTGAACTGTAGAGGAGAGAGCTGCTGCTTTGTCAGACAAATTTAATTTAATTTGGAAGCCTTATCAACACAGACTGGCTTCATTCACTTCCTAACTAACAGACACTGCACAGAAAATCAACATCGTTCAAAACTCCGCCTTCTGTTTGCTGATTGGCCCAGGTAAAATAAACTACAAGCAGACTGCGCAGAAAATCAACGTTGTTGTTCTGTTCTCTGATTGGCCCGGACAAAAATTCTCCTGAAGAAATCCTTGTCTTTGGGAGGAAATCCCAGACGGGGCAGTGAAGGGAAACTAGAACTGAGTGGAACTGCGTAGGAAGGCAAGTGCCAGGTTACATTGATCCACATCAAAATACAGATTAARTTATTATTGATAAGGCATGATGAAAACATTGATCCATATCATCATCATCATTATATGTCCAATATGAATTGATATTATATTAATCACAGGCTTATGATATCATAAAATAACATTGTGATATTGAAAAACATCATATTGTCATCCAAACAAATCTATACAATATCTTATTGTGGCTGGTTGGGCAAACTCACATGCCACCTTGAGGACCCTAGCAAGCTTAAAGAGGTGGGTGGTCCAGTGTTTCACAGCCAGAATCTGAGGTCTGACTATTTAACAGACTCTTTTCTTCAGCACACATGAATAGACCTTACCAGTCAGGTCTAAGTTCTTTCCACTGTTGCTTCACCATATGCAGTATCTAGCTTACATATTTAGAAATATCAGGCTTRTTCAGTTGCGCAAGATAATTGTATGTCTGTATAATTGATGCATCAACCCAACCTTGATTCACTTGTACTCTGCATGTATTTAGAAGACACATAAAGGCTTTTATATGCTGATGATCTGTTTTGTTTTTAATATTTCCTCTTGTCTATTTAAGTGTTGGTCACATCTGCTACAGGTTTTCTCTCTGAATATTAAATTTTAGACCTTGATGTGGTTTTCAGTGRATGACTAGTTTCATGTAGGCTGTCCTGATGTGGTGCTTCAACACCATCTGTTTTATTTTCCACTTTTCTTCAAACACATCTATTTAAGCAGTATCACTGTCCATACTGTGTGTGTGTGTGTGTGTGTGTGTGTGGGTGTGGGTGTGGGTGTGGGTGGGTGGGTTTGGGCACGTATTTGCTACATCATGGGGACCATTTTCTAGAAAAACACAGCCTTGTAGGGACCCGATTCTCCAAAGCCTAGTCCCCACAGGTACAGGTACTGATTTTGTGTGGGGGGTTAGGTTTAAAACTAAGGTGTGAATTGAGTTTAGACTAGATTTAGGGTCAGGTATGTACAGAGGTGGTATGTTTTAGGGTTAAGGGTCCGGGTTAGGCTATAGAAATGACTGGAAAATGAATGGAATTCAATGCAAGGTYCCTACAGAGATAGAAAAACAAATGTTTGTGTTTGTCCATCCATTTTAATAATTTTGAAAAGACTAGACTTGGTATGTCTTAAGGTTTCATTAGGTTAGAGCAGTTATTTCCTGCAGAGTCTGTTTATAGATTCAGTTGAAAAAAATCAGTTAAAGAAAGAAAAGCCCTGGGGAATGGTGCAATGATCTGATTTTTATCTTTAGGAACAGTATTATATCAGAGAGGTTCATTTCAGGTCTAAAGATGGAGATCTGTTACCTCCAAAGTGGAGGAGATAAAACTTTATTGTGAAGCAGTTGCCAGTCAAAGCTTGAATTCTATCATTTGGTGTTTTTAGAAGTTTTTTTTTGTAATCATTAGTTGCTATCCATTAAAGAGGAAAGTGATTTTAATTAAAAGTGAGCCATTTAAACTCCTGTTAAAGCTTAATTTTAAAATTTGCGAGGTAAAAAATACTCATCTTTGACGTTGAAACCTGAAGTGACACCAACAGAAGAGATTGGAAAAACTCTTAAATTAACAGTTCTCTACATTCCTCTCCTTGATAATCCATCTGAAGGATTTAAAACGTTAAAGAAAGCCATGAAAACTGAGTGTTTTCTAGTTTTGTTGGCCAGTAGCAACATTAGGGTATGTGGGTACTGCTGTAGAGCGATAAATGAGACACATGTTGAAAAACCATGAATACTAAATGTTTTGCTTCCCTCAGTTTGAAACCAACAGAGTGACGTTATTCTCATGATGTCTGTCTCAACAGAGGGAACATTCAGGAGCAATCTGGGCTTGTTTCCCTCAAGCAGCAGTTTGAGGGGATTATTTGGTGTAATAGTCAACCAGGCTCTTTTAATGAATAATTTGGGCTCAGGCTGAGCTCTTCCAGATGGCTAAAGGGAAATGCCACTCTTTGTTCTTCACCAATCCAATGGAATAGTCGCACCATTAGGTTGGTGRTGAGTGTTCAAAATAACTGGTGTTTTTATACCATCGACAAAATGTCACTGAGTGATGTGTCCATCCTGTTGAGGAGGGATTTAACATTTATTTTAACTCCTCATTTTCTGACCTTTTCCTGTTTGTTTGTTTGTTTGTTTGTTTGTTTGTTTGTTTTTTTGTCACAGGAAGCACAAAGACATAAAGGGACTCAGACCCCCCCTCCACGTCTGAGACATGATGGAGCTCCAGGCTTCTCCGGGGCAGCTAGGAGCAGAGGGGGATTGTGGGATGTCAAATCTACTGGTGCCCAGTCCCCAGAGTGAGGCAGTGACCCATGAGATGGAGGAGCTGACCTTGCAGCCTTCACAGAGCCTGCCCCCTTTGAATGAACGCAAAAATGGTAAGATCCTCATCGCACATTAAGGCTCCACTATATGAAGAAAACATGTCACCGAGGTGTTATTGCTGATAATTACAATGAGGATATTGGTTGTAACAAACCAGTTTTTATCTTTCATTCAGAGTCACCCAACATTCTTTGTGTGCTTTCCCAATCCGTCAGCTGAATCAGGAGTTCCCTAACCTAGATTATTGGTTTACAGATCTTGAGTGCATGGTGCTTGGAGTGTACTATAGAAGACGTTATGTTTGCGTCAGTGTTTCTAACAGCTTAGTTTAAACAAACAGAACTAGTAAGTACAATGATTATTGCACTGTACTTGATGCCTCACAGTAAGAAGGTCCTGAGGTAAATCCTCAGTTCAGAYGGTCTTTCTATGTGGAGTTTGCATGTTCACCTCATGTTTACGTGGGTTTTCTCTGGGTACTCTGGTTTCCTTCCACAGTCCAGAAACATGCATGTTAAGTTGCCTTCAGGCCCAGGCCTCCTTTGCAAAAGAGATCTGTGATCTCAATGGGATTTGCCTGGTTCRATAAAGGTTAATAAATAAATAAACGGTGTGTAGCGCCTTTTGTTTTTGTGACACTGAGTCGTACATGGAGTTACATAATCTGTACAATCGTTTTTGCTTAACTTGGCATGTTACCATGGTCATTTAGTAGAGCAGAAAAGGTATGTTGCCTTCAAACTGTTTCCTTGAAAAGTCCAATCCCAAAGACATACAAAGTTACGGATGTTCAGTAATGAGGTAAGATCTGTGGAATTCCTCTGGWAAGTACATCAGATGGTATATGCATGTGCAGGCCTGTTTGTTATTGCATTTTTGTACAAGCACACAGTCCAGACTGTCACTCAGAAAAAGATACATACACTCAATATTGTTGTTTTCCCCAATAATTTCTCWATGATCTAGTTAAAAGTGCTCAAGAAGGAACCTTCATTATTACTATTCAAGGGGTATTCTCTTGAATTTGCTTCTCCTCTCACTGCTTTGGAAAAAACCTACAGTAATACATCAGAACATGTTGTAATAATGTGCTATGGTTTGTGGTAGCATGTTAAGGTGTAGACAGTTTGTAAAAGTTTTCMATGTACGCAATGGAATTTTGACCTAATGAATGAAAAACCCTCTTTGTAGCTGCACAGCTTTGGTATACTTCACAGCATCATTTATTGTTTTATCTCGTCACAGAAAGTTTGACTTAATGCCTGAACGGGTGAATTGAATTCTTACATTTTATATACAATTGTAAACATTTTGAAGGTTTTACCACAGAATGGTCAAYGCAGCGTGAGATGTCACACACTAACCTAGAAAAAATATAAAAATGGGATAACCGGCACTCCAAAAAATACCATGGTTTAATAAGGGCAGAGAACAGGACGTGTTTTGGCTACATGCCRTCGTCAACTTGTTACAGATCAGACAAACTACGAATCTATATAAAGAGATTAAAATAACACCTCAGCCAATCACAAACAGTTTGGGTAATCAGCCCAAAAAAGAAACATCTGTGACTAATATGCACAACTAGTAGACTTCAGTAATATACAATATACAGGAATACATGAAATCACAGAAAAGTTACAAAAATTTTTTTACAAAAAGGACAAAAATCACAGAAAGCAGTTCAATGCCAATTCTTCTTTAAGTCCTTAAGGGTTAACCGTCTGTAAAGTGTGGATCCAGCATGCTTCCCTTTGTAGCAGAAGTTTATCTCTTTCACCTCCTCTTTTGAGAGGAGGGTACAACTTCTATGCCTTGAAATTTCAAGGAGCATATATCATGACCAGCTGTCATAAAATGTCTGGCAACAGGAGATCTCTCATCTTTAGTACGAATTTTGCTTTTATGTTCTGAAAACCTGATTTTTAATTCTCTTGTAATTCTTTTCAATTCTCTTTACCTATGTAGGCCAGGCCATAAGGACATTTCAATAAATACACAACATAATCTTTTCGGCACATTATTCTGTGTGAAATAGAGAGCTTTTTACCTGTGTGAGGATGTAAAAGCACATTACCTTTAATCACACTAAGCTTAAAACTGTTTAAACAATCCAAATGTTTTACAAACACATTTTCCTTTCACAGTCTGTAAGTTTCTTATAGAGTTAATATGTCATAAGGATTTTTTTGTTTTGTTTTGTTTCACCTAACATGTGTCACACTGCTATCAAACTTGGGTTTTTGTTACAAATTCATCCAGAGTGCACAGTTTTTGTATAGTGACCATTTGTTTTAGGCTGTTTCTGTGTGCCTGTCTTATTAGGCCTTCTATTTAATGACTCAAGCTTAGCTGAATGAGTAAACACAAGTCAGGCATTTTATTTTGTGCAACACTTTCCAACTTAAGGCCTAAATCGTCTATCAGCCTTTTGTTTTACTGTTCACAAGGTAATTATCTTGACCTTACCAGTCAGGCTGCATGTTTTTATCCATCTCATTGTTGTTTAAGCAGCTACATAGAGCAGCTCCTGACATTGATGGATGAAACAACTAGRCATTATGAGCAATCCACTGCAGAATTTCCTTGCTCTGAATCAGAGCTTTGATTGCAAAGAGAGATCTAGTTAAGTCATTTCTGTTCAGTCACCAGAGTATTTTTGCAGCCATCTTGTTAATCAAAAAAGTCTTTAAATGTTGGCTGTTTAATCTGAACCTTTTCAGACAGAATGCAGCATGTTTTGTTTTACCAGAGCATTTTGTGCTGCTCTGTGGCTGCTGTCACCTGCAGGAGAAAGCACATTAAACCGTCTTAGGAAGTTGCTGTGGAATGTCAATAGCACTGTCACCCCATCGTCAGCTTGTCTTTTGTCATTTTCCCCTTCACTGAGAACTCAAACCTCATACTTTCCACCCACTAAGCCATTCCCAGAGCTTTGCCAACTACAGTGAGCCGTCTCCTCGTCTGGTTTTTAACCTTGCAGGTGTTGATCTGTTTGCCATCTTGACAGCCCTGGAGTTTGAAGTTGAGCGGCCGGAAAGGAAAGCTACAACTCTGCTGTCAGCAGATCAGACAAATCAGGGCTGTGAGCTTAATTTAATTGATAAAATCTGCGTGATAGTCAGTTACACTTAAAACTAAATGGACCAGGCTCACTGTGTCTGTTTAATCTGTCCAGAGTTACACCAAGTTGACATGTTGTATAAGCTTCAGAAAAATGATATTGTAAGATTATTTACTTCCATGGAAAATAAAGTCTCAACATCAGGCAGCAAGGATTCTAATTTTCTGTCTTGTAATTCAAGAGAGTATTCTTAATGAAATTGTATAACCTTTTGGCAAAGTGTTTATTTTCCTTCTTGCAATAGTAGGCCTGCCATGTTTTCTGTATAGCTGGCTGATCTTTAGTTATTTGAGCCGTCTGTCCTTTAGCATCATCATTATAATCCTTTATATTCATCTGTCTAAAAGTAGCCCAATTTTTAGTTTTATTTCTGCTCATTTTAAATCACTTTTGCCAAGTTCTCAGTATTTTATTAATGCTTAGTGCTGAATAGGATTGGGCAATATTGGTAAAATTGATCACAGTTAACTGTGGCATTTAGCCGATAACTATTAATATGATGATAAAGATGACAATTGCACTTGCATGGTTTTGACTAAATTGGTTGTCCTAGGTTCTAAAATTGTACTTGTAAAAGTCAAATTAACTTCTTCATTTTAACAGGTACAAATACACTCCTGATCAAAATCTTGAGACCAGTCAAAAAAGTGCAAGAATTTGCATTTTGCACTATTGGATCTTAAGAAGGTTCAATTCAATTCAAATTCAAAAATACTTTATTGATCCCAGAGGGAAATTAGGAGTTGTTGTAACTCATTTAACAAAAAACTTATTGTAGATGCTGATGGCTGTGGGCAGGAAAGATCTTCTGTAGCGGTCTGTATTACAGTGAAGTTGAAGAAGCCTCCGACTGAAGACACTTTGTCTTTCTGTGACAGTCTGATGAACAGGATGGTCAGGATTGTCCACAGTGTTCTAAGTAGAGCTTCACAATGTTAAAAGAAGAAGTCAGTGTAAGAGACAAGAACTTTTGAGCAGGGAATTTTCTGAAAACTGCATTTACACTCAAACATGATTTTTTCAGCTGATCAAAAGTTTAAGACCATAGCTCAAAAAACCCTGAAAACCCCCCAAAACAGAAATCAAAGTGTCAAAAAAAGGACTCAGTAATGAGTAGCTCCACCATTCATGTTGATGACTTCAAACAATCGTTTAGGCATGCTTGATGCCAGTGTTTCCAGGAGGCTAGTGGGAACGTTGCTCCAAGTGTTGAAGATGACTTCACGAAGGGCATCCACTGTCTGGAACTGATGTCCATTTTTGTAAACTTCCCTTGCCATCCATCCCCAAATGTTCTCAGTTGGGTTTAGATCCGGGGAACATGCAGGATGGTCCAAAAGAGTGATGTTATTGTCTTGGAAGAACTCCTTTGTCAGGCGGGCATTGTGAACTGCAGCATTGTCCTGTTGAAAAACCCAATCATTACCACACAGACGAGGGCCCTCAGTCATGAGGGATGCCCGCTGCAACATCTCCACATTGCCAGCTGCTGTTTGACGCCCCTGCACAACCTGAAGCTCCATTGTTCCATTGAAGGAAAACACACCCAAATCATGATGGCGCCCCCACCACTGTGCYGTGTAGAAAACATCTCAGGTGGGATCTTTTTGTCATGCCAGTAACGTTGGAAGCCATCAGGACCATCAAGGTTAAAAATTTTCTCATCAGAGAAGACAACTTTCTTCCACCTTTCAATGTCCCATGTTTGGTGCACCCTTGCAAAGTCCAAACGGGCAATTTTGTGGCGTTGAAGAAGATGTGGGCTTTGAAGACGTTTTTTGTTTCTGAAGCCCTTCTCTCACAGATGCCGTCTGATGGTTATTGGGCTGCAGTCAGCACCAGTAATGGCCTTAATTTGGGTAGAGGATCGTCCCGTGTCTTGACGGACAGCCAATCGGATCCTGCGGCTCAGAGCTGGTGAAATTCTTTTGGGTCTACCACTTGACTTTTTTTTCCATAACCCTCAGGATTATTTAAAAAATGCAAAATGACTGTCTTACTGCGTCCAACTTCAGCAGCGATGGCACGTTGTGAGAGGCCTTGCTTATGCAGCTCAACAATCCTACCACATTCAAAGTCAGTGAGCTTTTTTGCTTTTGCCATCAGGAGGTCTTGACAGTGTAAAGACTTGACAGAAAATGACATGGAATCCAGATTTTTGCACAGCTTTTGGCTTTTAAAGACTATGGTCTTAAACTTTTGATCAGCTGAAAAAATCATGTTTGAGTGTAAATGCAGTTTTCAGAAAATTCCCTGCTCAAAAGTTCTTGTCTCTTGCACTGACTTCTTCTTTTAACATTGTGAAGCTCTACTTAGAACCTTCTTAAGATCCAATAGTGCAAAATGCAAATTCTTGCACTTTTTTGACTGGTCTTAAGATTTTGATCAGGAGTGTAGTAAGTTGAGAGTTGAAACTCACCTGACGTAGACACGGGTGGATAGCAAATAACTAAGCAAGCTTAGTGAGAATCACAAGTGAGGAAAATGTCAGCTTAAAAAATGTCTCTTATTTGGAGATATTTTTTATAATTTATTAAAAAACATGATAGCAAGAGGYGTTTTTCAGTGTCTAGAGCAARGGTGTCAAACTCATTTTCACTGAGGGCCACATGAGCATCATTGTGGCCCTCCAAGGCCCAGTCGTTGACATTTCATGTTTAACTTTGACTAAACAGGAAACCACACGTTCCTCATCTAATTACTATGGCTGAGCACCACTAACAAATAATATCTGAGCTCCACGTGGTATTTCCTGCATAAAATCAGTGTTTTAACACATCCTCTTATAAATACTGAAAAATACTATGTGTACGATGATTTTATGTGAAATAAATAAAACAGAAATACAGTTAAAAATTAAAGTAAAAGAGTTTTACGCACTGATGAGAGGTGGGTGGTAGGATTCATTTTGAATTCTTAACTATCCCACTTTCTGACAGGGAATTACCCCTGGGGGTCTTCCTGTTTAAATTTACAATTGTAAGTGGGAAGTTCCCACTTCACAGAACAACTAGGCTGCAGCAAAAATAAATGCAGCTAAATGTAGATTTCACATGGCTGACTGCCGGCTACTTTTGAAAATGGTGCAACTCCACCTAGTGGYAGTATGTCATAATTTGGCAGGTAAAATAATCAACATGCATTATGGGAGATGTAATTTACAGACAACGCAGGCTTTAAAGCATCATACACTAATTTTAAAGATATTAATACATCTTTGAAGCTTTCAGGGGCCACATAGAATGCTGTGGAGGGACACATTTGGCCCGCRGGCCTTACGTTTGACACGTGGTTTAGAGCATCAGAAAATGTTCTGTGGGACAAAGTTTAAAGTCAACAAACTGTATTGCATGCAGTTTGTTGTTTCTCTGCTAATACAGCACATGTGTCTAGTTAATTGTACTTTWAAATAAAACTGTCATGTTGGAATGGAAATTGTATTTTAGTTGTTTTTGCTCTGAACCTAGAGCGGAAAGCCATCGACACTTTTTGCTGGGCTGCGACTGTTAAAGAAAGTCTAGTTGGAAAATGAAAATTACAAGAAAATCTGCACATTTTCTATTGCAGTCTCACTGAGTGTTTGTGAACAAGTAACCAGTCAGCTGTGCTGCTTATATTACCGTATTATTTTTTTGTTGCCCACCTCTCACCTTGGCATCTGCCCCAATGTTTCTGRTTTACTGCAGATGTCCCCTACCCTGTTCCTAGATGGTCATARATGTTTTAGATGTTTCCCTGCTTTAACACACCTGACTGAAATGAATAAGTAATTGACAGTGTTCTGCTAAGCTGCCATTCTGATTATGCAATTCAATTATTTGATTAGGAGTGCTGAAGCAGGGAAACGGATATAACGTGCCAGACAATTGGACACGAGGACAAAAGTTGGGGACCTCTCAAACTACTGGAGTACACTTTTGTATTGAAGGTAGGCAGATTTGAATCAGTTTTTAAATTGTTATTTATTATTGACATGGTGTTTAGACCTGAGTTCTGTCAGTCAGCTCCACGCAGGTGCCAAAGCAGGTCTAGATGGTTTTGGGATGTCTGCAATAACTTTGCAACTGTTTTTCACACGCCTTTTTTGAGACGTCCATTCAGGTAAATTAGGGAAATTAGAGAATTCTTGCAAACGTTTTTGACGTTTGGGGTTGTCTGTCTTTGAATATTGATGTTTGAACTTGTTGGTACTTTAGGACTCTTGTCTGCAAGTAAATTTGTCTTTAGGGTCATWTACTGGCAGGTTTTGATCCCATTGGATCGAGGCAGACAGAACAGAGTCTGTCATTTAACAGTGGAGGTATGTCATTCACCTCTCCTCAGACTGCTGAGGTCAGAATGATCCTCAGGCTGAACATCATCGTTTCCCAGAAGAATTCAGGACACTTCAACTAACTGGAAGCCTTATCTAAATGACATAAAACATGTTTTAACTGCAGCTCTGACTCATGCCGTTTTCATTTTAAACCTTCAGTGTGCCTGTGTGGATGTGCCTGTGCTCTGTTGTTACACCTCACCTTTACGAGGTGACACAGCTGCCAGATACCGAGGCTGTGTCTTTGTGAGAGATTCTAATCAGCAGCATCACCCGAATGTGTGGCAATGCTGAATAAGCAAACAAGAGAGAGACAATCAGTTAGTCTGGCCAGCTGTTTCCTGTTTGATTGTGTCGGCTTGCTTAAGGTTCATCACACCTCTTCCTATCACTAGAGACGTGATTTCACTCATGATTTATTTCAAAATGGGTTAAAACTCCACTCTTTTACACAAAGTTTTTGTCTGAAGCTTTACTTCTTTTAAAAAGCTGCCGTTTCGATTCCTTTTGCTTAGTACTGAGTAAACCACTCGACTGGTCCTCTGAAGTTACACGGAGCTTGTTTTGTTTCGATCTTCCTCTCTGAGCTTTAAAGGAACGGTTTCCTGCCAAAATTCATCCAGTTTCAAACTGGTTGATGGGGAAATGGGGAAAGAGAAAGGGGAGAACTGTGGCAGCAGTCCTGTAATATAAACACAAATGTTAGGGAGGGTTAAAGAAACAGTGGGTAGGTTTAATATTGCTCCACTTTAATTTTATGCTGCACTGAACTGTTTGTATTTAATCATTTGACTGCCACTCTTAATGAAACGGCYCATTACCTCAGTTGTATGTGGATGGTTCTGGTAACCACCAGACTGTGGTCTGTTTGAGGGCWGAAGTCCTCAGCTGCATCAACTTCAGCTCTGGAGAAGGTGAGTGCTCTTCTTGTTTTGTTGTGATTTTATGGCTTTTTCCTCCCTCCATTCTGAAGCCACTGCAGTCAGATAAATGGCTGGAACAGACCGGGACATTTATCGTTTAGTAAAATTACTGAACGACTCCAGCTTGAAGTTTTTATCACTTGTTGAGTTCCTCTGATGTCAGTTTTAGACTCTTGATAGAGTTTGATCACCTGGTTTACTTGCTTTTTAAAACATAATCAGGTCTGAGCAGCCTGGTGGCCAGCAAACAGGAAGTAACTTAAAAATAAGAGTAAATACAGATATTGATGCCAGCTTTATTCTTTTAGTTTTTACCTTTTTTATTTATTATCTCATCTTCCTGATTTCTCGTCGTCTTTGTTTCTCATTTGTGTTTCAGTTTGCATTTTTTAAAATTTATTCTAATTCATTTTATTGGTCCATTTTAAAATGGCTGTCAGTGAC